GATCAATAAAAAGATGATCGGGACTCTGACATGAAGTTGAAGAGGTTTATTTTGTGATGATGTCTGACAGCCCTTACAAAACTTAACCATGGTTTTACTACAAATAAAACCAAAAAAACATTGTTATTGTAGTTAAACCATGGTAACCACAAATTAACCATGGGTTTTCTATACTAACCATAGTTTAGCCATGGTATTTGTAGTAAAACGGTGGCAATCAATCCGCCAAAAAAAAAAACATAGTACAATTTTATTTACTATAATAAAACCATGGTTAATTTTCGTAAGGAAATACAATGCTTAATTGCAAGACTACTTACCAAACAAAGTAATAAACAAATACACACATACAACAATACAAATAATTATTACCTTAAATGACAATGAAGAATCTAGTCCATTATAAAGTAGAAAGAAATCTTGTAGATGAACACGAAACTTCAATTGCATATTATTATTATTCTGTGATACATTTTTACGTGGACTAAGCTAAAGAATTAATTCCATTCTTCATTTTAAATTCTCTCTTATTCGGCTATTTGTGTCTCTCACCAATTTAATGTTTTTATAAGCAATATTTTCAATTTCTTCTGAGCTGCCTTCTAGCATCCAGCAAATATTTTTTGATCACAAGCTAAAAGTTTGCAAAGTCATTTTTACTATAGTCAGCTATTCTGGCATTAAAAGACAGTGATAGCAGAGTGATATGGCAGACATTACAGTAGGATGCCATATTGCATGAACAACAGTGAAATGATAATAATTTAATCATCCTTATACTTATACATAAATACAAGACCATTGCATGCAACAATGGACCAATCAGAATCAAGTATAACCATGCAATAAATCTTTTTAACCTAGTGTCCTATTTCTTCCTCTCCCACACACTCTCTTTCCTGTTTGTTCCAGATTTATGATGGTGTACATGCACAATATTGGCAAAGCATTCAAAATGTCCGCCATTAATACAGAGTGCTCCAGGCATTGATAAGAACCTTAATAAAAACATCTCCACTCAACGATCTGCTCATCACTTCTCCTCTCTGTCTCTCACTCTCCCTCCTTCTCTCGCCCCGTCGGTGTCTTCTTCTCTCAGACTGTGCCAGGGACTTAACGATGCTTGAATGCCAATGCATCTGACTCTTGACTTTTCACTCTCACTCTCTTTTTTTAATAAAGTCTATTAAAAACGCAATCCCTGGGCTCCATCTATCTCAATACATCTCTCGAAGATATATTTCTCAGGCTTTTCCTCTATCTCTGCCTTTTACTCTTATGTACTAGATGAATACAGCTGCACTTCATGCTTCACACACACATAAACGCAAAGGTCATTCTGTGTACTACAAACACAAAATCAATAGAAAAATCAAGTTCTTGAGTATTTTGGGAGTGGGAATGGTTTCTTTCATTTGCTTTTATTCTTTTTTTTTATGTTGATCTATGTACATATACATCAAATGGATGGTTATAGACTTAAGTTTTTTCAAGTAAAAAAATACTGATGTACTAATATTAAAATTCTGACCAACACAGATAAGTTGATAATTATTTTCATCTAAGGTAGATAAACAACAAAATCCACTCACTCTCTCTATAGGACTAGGCCTAAATAATTAAAATAAGCTTGAAAAATAAATAAATAAATAAATGCATTTATTTAAGAAAAACATATTGTGAAATATTATTACCATGTAAAATAACTTGTTTTCTATTTTTAAAAAATATAAATATAAACTTAAAAATTTAATTTATTCCTATGATGGCAATGCTGAATTTCCAGTAGCCATTACTCCAGTCTTCAGTGTCACATGATCCTACAGAAATCACTCTATAATGATTTGGTGCTCAAGAATAATTTCTTAATACAGTATTGTTGAAAACAGTATGTTTTGTAACATTATAAATGCCTTTACTCTCACTTCTGATAAATTTAAAATAAAAGTTTACTAAAAATAGTAAAAGTATGAAAAGTAGCGTATATATCAAATACGGACAGATATAAATGTTAAAAAAATAATTATATTAAATAAATAATCTGACAAATCAGCATGTAATTCAGTCAGGCGATAATGAAGTGCTACTAACAACCCTCAACAGGTTTCTGTACCGTCCTCTCACACCTGCCTGCACAGAAGACACATGTCCAACACCACTTCCGAAATTCACTGCATCATAAACAGATCACACACAACCATAAACTGCTTTAAAATATTAAAGAAGGCCACTTTACAGTGATGAATAATACAGTATGGGGGTGAGTGGAAAACCAGTGATCTCCTCCAGTGCCCTCTCCTCACCCCTCTCTCTGCCTCCCACAGCGGCCATAAAGCTAATGCACACCACAAGACTGGTGGTGCAGATCTCTGCCAGACCTCTCACCGATCCATGCATTCCTTCCTTCGCATTTCCTTTCCTCTAGACCTAATTACAAGCCTCACTGGTTCTCTTCCTACCTAAGTTTTCTTCTCTTTGCCTTTTGTAGATTTTGCATTCATAACTGAATTTCACAATGTGTATCTTACAATTCACAGCAAGCAAACTCAACCACAGTTGACCTGTTCTCAGAGATAACCAATTATCCCCCCACGCCCTGGACTACCGGCGGAGAATTCCGGCAGCCGTGACTGGGAGGATCCGACATGTTATGCTCTCTGAACATGATGAGCAAGCAAGAGCACACCTCCCTTCCCATCTTGACCTTAGGTACTTCAGCTTGACCTACACCCCACTTTTCTACCAGCGGCGCTGGCCACTAGGCCTGAACTTAATCCTCTTGAAACTGTCCAAACAATACGATTCAAATGTTTAGGTCAGGACAGTGCAACTCCATTATATACACAACAGCACACGTCTGCCATCTCTATCCAGCTCAAGCATGTATACAGGGATGTTCTGCCAAACAAACACGCATGCATACACAAACGCGCACACACAAACAGGAGGAGAAAAGCTGATGGGGCAACAAAGCCAGAAGTGGGTTCCTGGCAGTCTGGGTATGGGTAATTAATGTGTATGTCAACACTGAAAGAGCTGTACCATACAGGAAATCTGAGCTCAGCGCATCCACAATACAGACAGACAGGACGGAGAGGAAGAATACAGGAATGGACAGAATGAGAGGGAAGATAAACGTTATCCATCTTGACTCTGATGCTTTATGGATGATATGAAATATGTGCTGGCATCGCCGTCTCAACAAGAGACATGATTGGAGTACTTCTGTCTGTAAAATCTAGACCGTTCATGTAAAGTTTCTCACATACTGTATAGAGACCGGGGCAAGTTGTCACTTTTTTTTAACACTACAGTGAATAATTCTTAGAGCGGGTTTATCTAGTTATTTTCTGTATAATTCTTGACTTTTCTGACTTGAAACATTTCTGTATAATTCTTGCCCAGGAGGGGAAAAAAGAGTTTGCTAAACACACATCCAATAACAGGGCATGTTGTCTCACTACAGTATGTTGGGATAAGTTGACACAACAGTCTATTACAGGCTGTTCAGAAAATTTTGAAAAGGAAATGAATTATAAAACAAATAAATTCATGAAACAGCAAAAATCTATAAAAATATCAAACCGATGAATACTGCAAAATAAATTAACAATTTATAACATTTAAAGCACGTGACAACTTGCCCCAATAAAGATCCTCAAAACACAGTTCTCACCTTCTCAGTTAAAAGATAAAACACTTATAGTTTGTTTTTTTTAAGACAACTTCCCTGTGTGACAACTAGCCCCAATCTTGTCTATATTAAAACCGAGGTTGAAATAGGCATGTTTTCTACAATGGACTGCCGGTAGATCTTTACGAGAAAGGACAGTTAAACTGCAGTTCACATCTGTTTTCAAATCTGAAGTAAATCAACCTATCCTTTCATTTTCAGATCATTTTCAGAGGAATTTTGAACTTGCTGTATAATCATTGTTGCCAATTCAACATTGTCTCCTCCAAATTCTTCTGTACAAAATCCTTACACAGTATGAACTTGCAGACTACATCACTGTGATAACAAACGAAAACAAAATTGAGCTACTTTCAACAAAATTCATTACTCTACAAAATTAAGCTTTAAAAACATCTTCAGAGGAACTTCTACCACCACTTAATCAAGAGCATGTGCTAATGTAACCCTAAACTACATCAATCAGAAAAGTAAAATAACAGAAAGGAAGAGCTTTTAAAGCAACACACTTTAATTCAGAACTCACTATCTCTGCTTTCCCTCAGATGTTGTTTCCTTTTTATGAGGTTTGGTTTTTTTCTGTCTTTCAGGAGCCAGGAAGGCATTGAGCTAAACCTTAATTACTCCAAGAACACCAGGGGTTCTGCTTTTTATCCGCTGCTTGGAAGCTCAGCATGGCAAGCAGAAAGAGAGGAGATCAACAGAATATTCCTCTCTGAAGGCAGAGAGAGAGATATATGAGTGCGCATGCAGCAGTCACATCCCTTCATCTGGTTCTTACACTGCCTAGATAGATAGATAGATAGATAGATAGATAGATAATCACTATACAGGGTTTAATATTTAAAATGAAGTGTCACCTGTTATAATTCTGAGATAATGCATGGAGACATTTAGTAAAGTGGATCAACAAAAAAACATTCTATACATTTCTCCATAATTCCGCTATTAATGCTACTGTCTCTCGTACAAGGTTGTAACAGCTTCTATGCAATAAAAAAACAGGCCAGAAAAAGTAAAGTAGCTTTCATTCTAAAAGACTAATGAGTCATCTGCTTATGTATATAAAAAAAATCAAAAGGCATCACTTGATAGTCGACAAATGTTGAGAAACACAAAACCTGCTTGACGACCTCATTATCACTACACTTTGTGTCTGTGTTTTGGGTGTGTATACGTCAGGGCGCTTGCTTAGAAAACCCACACCTGCTTTCCCGTATGTTTCAGACGGAAAATATAAGGAAGTGTTTTATTATAAATATGCACATTATTAATATGAATATGTTATTAATAAAATGGCTCGTACCTGCATGGGTCGCAAAGGTTGCGCAGAGTATAGCTAAACCGAGCAGGCAGGCGGGAGAATGGTCGCGGTGTATCCACGCTGAGAGCATCTTCACCCGGTCACGCTACTGCCAAATGCCCCCAGGTGCTCTCGCTCCAGTCGGCTGAACCTCGCTGAATCCTCTGCGAAGGATACTTCAAATAACGTTAGTACGAAACGTGGAGGCGGGTTCCTCCTCAAACTTCACAAACTTACAAAAGAACGCACCGTGGTTTATAACAAACCCTATTTCCCCAAATCAGGACGCGATATATGTCGAATTACAGTTACACAAAATGTTCAGTCAGGCACATCGCAGTCCCCGTCCGTAGTGAAACACAAAATAGCCAACAACCTGCGTAAAGTTCATCTCATTCACAACTCCACTGAACCAGCGAACGCGTTTTCTCTGGCACTGTTTGAAAACTGCTGAATTATTCCGCGAACGAATCGAAAACAAAAGTACTTGACAGCTTTTATTCCTGTTGAGACGAGAAGAAAAAGTTGTCTTTGAGCGTTAAATATAATGCCATAGTTGTGACATCTCCGCTGTTATCTGTGGAGCGCCATAGTCCTGACGCTGCCGCTCGTCTGTCTCGAGTACTGCGTGTAAACACAAACGCGGGTATGAAGCGCGAGCCTCCAGACTTTCATCTCCCCTCAACCAATCATCAACCTTCAGACCCACACTGAGCTCCACACTGAGCTCTGGCGAACAGAGACGCGAATAGAGATGTGAATGGAAACAGGGAAAGCCCGGAGATGGATTCGGGGATTCACTGGGAGGAAAAATATTAATTTTATATATTTTTTACTTATAGCTAAATAAAAATGGTTTCGTTATTTTACATAGAATTCTATATTGTTGTTGTTGTTGTTTAAATTGTCTATATTTTAACAATATAATTAAAGAAAATTGTTTGGTTATTTATCTAGCCATTTTTCTGATGTATGTGAGCTGCGTTCTTTTGGCCTTTACCATGTAATTGACTGTCTTTAATTCTAATCTTCTATGATTATGATAAATTAAGGGTGGTTTGGATGAAGGGTGTTTTAATAATAAAACTAACATTAACAAGAATGTGTTAATGTTAGTTTTATTATTAGGGTTAGTAACACAATCACAATTTACAGCCATGCCTCCCAGCATGTTTCATTCACGTTCAGTGCATTTATGAACGTATTCTCGGGAACACCACAAGAGGGCGACAGTTTCTACATGTGTTTTTGAGTCATTTCAGATGCTGAATATAGGCTGATTGTCCAGCGGCCATTTGGTTTCATTGTTACCCTCCAGAAGACTGCAGTCAGAGCTCTCAGGTTTTGGTTGGGTACGCAGAAACTAAAATGTAAACAGGTTATTCAAATCGCAGTCTACTTACCACAGAAAGCAGAATCTTTTGTAATGCAGATGGAGGAGGACCATCTATTGGAGTCTGGTAAGGGCAGCAGTTCCTGATCTGCAGGTGTTGCTAAACCAGACAGGGATAAACACTCTGTAAACAACAATTTAATTTATATTTAATGTGAGTTGCTGATTTGTCAATGTTAAAAAGTGTAAATGTTTACAGATCACAAATCTGTTCTGACATGTTACAACTAATACGTTTTCTCCCCATATATCATGTGCAGTTCTTATATTTATAAATACAGTATGCTCTATTTACACCTGCTGATGCAGCTAATAGAAAAAAAAAGAAAAAAAAAATGCATCCTGTGAAGACATGCAAAAAATGGTGGTTATAAAAAGAAAGTCTTGTTAACTGTCAGGCGATGTTCATGCTAAACTGACTGTGCCTGGCAGTCTTTAACACAAATCTGATTTTGAAAGCTCATAATCCCTGCGGACCAGTGATGATTTCCCTCATCTTTCCCTCTTCAGTTTCCTGGAACATGGATGTGTTTCAGAGTTTTGTCTGGTCATAAAATACAATAAATAAGATAGGACAAGCACTTAAAGAATGAATGATTACGGAATAGTTCACCCAAAAAATAAGATTTGCTAAAACTATATATTAACCCTGAAGCCATCCAAGATGTAGATGAATTTATTTCTTTATCAGAACAGATTTTAGCATTACATCACTTGCTCACCAGTGGTTCATCTGCAGTGAATGGGTGCCGTCATGAGAGTCCAAACAAATTTAAAACCATCACAATAATCCACAAATAATCCACATGACTCCAGGCCACCAGTTAATGTATTGTGAAGAAAAAAAGCTGTGTGTATGTCCATTCCATCATTAAGACAATTTTAACATCAAAGCGTTGCTTTCAACTAAGATGCAAGTCCTCTATCTATGATAGTGCTTTTTCTCAAAAAGTCATCAGTCATTTTTGGGTGAACTATTGCTTTAATATTCCTGTTTAAGAATCAGTAAATAATAATAGATTTGAGAGCATAAACATACAGAATGACTTTGCTGCATCTTTAATTGAATCCATAAGATGTTGCCACTAGCTGAGCAAACTGTCATACTGATTTGATCCTCTGCCAGTGTCATCAGCTCAGATAAGTTTGCAGCCTACTAATGGAACACGGTTTGCTTTCATTACTTCTCAAACACATCTTCAGTTACTGGGCAGATGGCAATTGCGATAAGATTTGCGGCGCTTCAGTCTGAATAATGTTGAGATTAATTGGAAATGTGACTCATGATGAGCCGTGTAACAGTGAGGTGAGAGAAGTTACGGAGTGAGAGGGATATAAGCGAGAGTGACAAGTGTGGTGGTAAAGAGGATACATAATGGAAGATGATGCTGCTCATTAAAGAGAGACAGTGAGAACATGCACATGCTATAGTCATTATGACAAAGATGCTTATATAAATGTCTAGCACTGCTCACATTAAATTCCCTTAAATTCGTTAAGGAAAACCCTAAAAATAGTCTGTAAGTAATAGAGTGGGATAACAGAAAATTATTTTCAGGATTTATCGAGCTGACCCAAACCACAGACTAATTATCTCTGCATGTGCCAGAAAGGAAGTCATGCCATAGATTTCAAGTAAGATATGCTTTCTTCTTCTGATCATACTATTAAGCTTGATTAGGATGGTAGCATCCATGTTCTCATGTAACACCATCATGCTCCCATGATGGTATGACATTATAACTGTGGGCTGTATATGAATGTATATGTAATGTATAAAGAAAAATATGTAACCTTTAGACTATTAAATACTGATATTTTAAATAAATATTTTTATGTATCAGTAAATACTGTATAATGAATAATTTAAAAAATATATATATTTTTTATTTTTTAAATAAAAATTTGTATTTATTTATTTATTTATTTACTGTATTCATGGTTTAGTAAGTATAATGTTGTTTATTTTGACCTCATTATTTGCATGTGCGGTTCAGGTTTTGCCAGTTTTGTGGGAAACAAACGTCCCCATATAGAAAGTAAAACCTGAATACCTTTACAACCTTCCTACATAAAAGGAATAATGTTTTAATTAAAATATAAAAATGCAAAAATGGGTTACATTTAAACATAGGTGTAGGGTTAATGTATAGACAATAAATAGACAATAATTAGCTCAATATTAAACATTTTGTTCCCACAAGGATCGTAAAACCTTCCAATGGTCCCCACGAGGAAAACGACTAAGTAACATTTTAATTAAAATGTAAAAATGCAGAAAAATTCTCTGTAGGTTAGATTTAAAGGTAGGTGTAGGGTTAGAAAACATATGGAAAATAATAAGCTCAGTATTATACGAATGAAAAGGCCCTATAATGGGTGCATGGTTATCAGTATGACTTGTGAGCGATTCCATGCTGAGTTCACCTGTCCCGCCTTGTTCTAATCCCCAGGTACACCTGGGCCCGTGGGCCACAGGGGATTTTAGCAGATTGCATGGGCAAGACTATTACTCTGATTGTTGCCCTAGAAACTCGGCTCTCCTGTAGGGGAATGGGAAAAAAGCTAATGAAATTAAAGGTGCCAAAACTATTTGGAAAAATGAGAATTTTCTGTTCACATGCTCATTTGAACCCTTCCATCAGCCGCATGCTGAAATGTAGGAGTTGACCTTAAACTAGCAAAGTAAAAAAAAGCATGGCAGAGAGGTCAGACAGAGGTTTCCAAGAGTCTTTACCTTCTGACTTTTCAATTTCAGAACCCCTTGCTCGTAATATGTGGAACCGTGGACTGCTAGCATCATTAATGAGGGAAACAGATCAAAGTTCTGCAAAACTTGCTCAAAAAGGAATTATTTATTAGTGATAAAGACCCAAGAAATGTTCCATTTCCCAATATTGTTAAAAGTTATTTATTTCTTTAATGGCAAAGCAGAATTTTCAGGCTTCAGTGTCACATGATCCTTCAGAAATCATTCTAATATGCTGATTTGGTGCTCAGTTTTTATAAATTATTATTGGTGCTCAATTATTTGATGAATAGAAAGTGCAGTGAACAGCATCTTTTGCAATTAGAAATGTCTTGCAATTAGAAATGTCAAATTTTTTGAATGAATCATGGTTTCCACAAAAATATTAAGCAGTACAACTGTTTTCAACATTAATAATAATAAGAAATTATACTTGAGCAGCAAATCAGCATATTAGAATTCAGCTTTGCCATCACATGAATAAATTACATTTTAAAATGCATTAAATAGAAAACAGTTATCTTAAATTGTATTAATATTTCATCATATTACTGCTTTTACTACATTTCTGATCAAATAAATCTTGGTAGCACGAGAGACTTCTTTCAAAAACATTAAAATCTTTATTATTTCACACTGTTAAAAGTAGTGTAGATGTTCTACAAGCTAAACAACACAAAACTCCAATTTTCATACCATAATGTTATAGCAGTAAAACGAAGAGGCAAGACAAATTAATTCAACAACATTTTCAGATCTCAAATAGCTTCCAAAACCCTGGCATATATCATATTCCTGTCAACGAATGGTGCGGGTAAACAGAATTGAATGCATGTTTTTGTTTGTAATTACATGCTGACAGAGAAAAGCACAATAGCTTTCAGAGCTGTCAGTTGTACTGAAGACCTACAGTATTCCACACAAAATGCAGGTTTGCCACTAAATAGCAGGTTATTTTTTATGTGAGGAGATTCATCCTAAATTGTTTCCAAGGTAAACAGATCCATTCAGTATAGGAATGAGTCAGCGCTCTGTGAAATAGCTGGGTCCTGGTTGATGCTTACACTTTGTGGCATTTAGAGCACAAAAGCAGTGCAGATCTGAGTAATCCAGTGCTCACATCTCACTGTCACCTGGGTAAATATCTGAGCATGAAATATGAGATTTGAAAAGATGGAACAGTCTGCTGAGAAGAAGGTCTCTGCATCTGGTTAAATTAAGAGTTAAATGTGAAGAGGGCTCACTTACAATATGTATTTCCTCCAGATAAACAAATATTCAAGACAGAAACATATAGGGATACATTGTTTGAATTACAGGTGCATCTCAATAAATTAGAATGTCGTGGAAAAGTTCATTTATTTCAGTAATTCTACTCAAATTGTAACAGTTGGTTAAATGACCATGGTGTTGGTGTGCTTGACTGGCCAGCAAACTCACCAGACCTGAACCCCACAGAGAATCTGGTCAGTGATGTGGTGTAAATCCACAGCATAGTACATACTTGAGACATTGGTATTATTTAATCTGTTTTCATACATTTTAGA